CGTTTTAGGACTTGTGACATCCTTCAAGATCAGTATCCAGGAACCCAGGCAAGACAACCGACAAGACAAGGTGAAGCAGAGAAGTTAAATGAGCCTCGGGATGGTCATCATAGGATCCAGCACGATCGAAGCTTGAGCCACACAGGGATCACTCTGAACCGTTGTTTTTAAAAGTTTCCCGGTCTTACTTTGTGGAATTGCAAAACTAAATCAGTAGGATTCCAAAGTAGCATTTAATTTCCTGTGGCACTCTCGTATTAAGACCCTAAATAATCTTCTGTGATGTCCCTGCTTGTTCTGCTGTCACTATGACCCTGACCTGAACAGAATGTTTACTACTTTGTACAAGTTATGTAACGCAGCAGTGATTCAGCTTTTATGCAGACCGTTGCTTTGCTGGGAAACAATTACCTGCTGCAAGATGTGCTCTGTTGTATGTTTTAGAAGAGGGAACAAATGTGGCCACATTCGGGCAAACATGTTCGGCTGCAAGGCAGATAATGGCACAAAATGGAGAACTCAGCAAACAGGATTTAATTCTCCTTTAGACGTTCTGTTTTAAGGCAGTGCTCTGTAAGATCTTCCTGAGTCCTGAGGTCCTGACAGAGTGCAGAGAGTGCAAAACTCTGTGTTGCATGTTTCCAAAAAATCCAGGGGTAGGTTTGGAACAAATAGAAGATGAGTCAGACAAGGAAAAAAAAAAAAGAAAAAGAAAAGAAACACATCTCAAGGCATGCAACAAAGCAGATAAAAAGGATTATTATATATTTAATAACTCCTAAGATAAAGTCCTGCACCTCTATGGAAACAGAACAACTATTACTAGAAGAAGAAAGACCACAGAAATGTCATCTGTGCAGTATGACACCGTTATAATACAATAAACCATTACAAAAAAAAAAAAAGATAAAAGCAACATTAAAGTTCTTTTTACAAATTAAAAAAAAAATCTAATAAACATGTGCAACATTTCCTCAAGTGTGGATTTGAGTCACTAAGAGCAACATAGTTGTGCTGAGGAGCAGAATTTGTAAATGGGACACGCAGAGTAAAGTGACTCGTAATATGCATCAGCTTATGTTTTCTGATAGAAAAGTGCACCACAGATAAGTAGTTCATCAGAAAGTTGAAAGTCTGGCTCTGATAATGGTGTGATTTTGGTTTCTTTTTTTAAAAATACATTACGGCCAACATACATTCCAACCCTGCCGACATGCTTTGGGCTTCAGGCAGTTAACAGCAATGATGCAACTTTTTACATTCCAGACACCTTTGGATGAGCAGTGTCCTCTAAAGAACTGTCCCCTGTGGGAAATAAATTCTTCAAGTAAAAAGATGAAATGGGTCAGTTTATAAGAATGCAGAAGGGACTGTGGGAGCAAAGAGTCTACCAGCTGTAATAGATAAACACAACATTATCATGCTGAGTGTGTTTGACTGTGCTTCAGAAAAGCAGCCACAACAGCGTAGGTACAGTTTGGGTTTATTTCCTTCTGAAAAATACAGATCAAAGGTCCTAAGATTCCCCACTGATCTGTGTAATAGCACACATGGTCCCTGCTGCTCTGTGCAGTGTCCTGGAGGATGACAGGAAACATAAGAACCTGTTATAAAATCAATGTGTTGGAAAGGCCATTGTTTTGTCGTCTGAACATGTTCCACTGAAACAGTGGAAACTTTTTAAAAACATGTAGCGGCGGCGGCGGGAGCCCCTCTGACGGGAAAACAGCCTGCCAAATAATATGATGAGTAATAACGAGAGCATGGACCCGAGTTGTGTTTTCTCCAATTTCAGGAGGGGAATCGAGGCTGTGAAACGCAGGTCTGTTTCTTTTTCTCAGCCTGAAAACATCTAGTCAGGAGGTATGTGATGAGGAAGTGAGTCTCCCCAAACCACATCAGGCTTACTATAACCACAGGAGACCCAGCGTCTTCCACCCCAGTCCAAGCATTCATCACAGTCTTCATTCCTGTCTGCCATCGGTGGCTGCAGCTCCAGCACAAACAGCTTCAACAAGTAGATTTATATTCAAGAAAAGAAAATATTAAGTCCACATGCACTTGATGAAAGCATTTCCTTGAAATTTTGAAAAACTAGAAAACTAAACGTAAGAATCTGCGGCTGATTGTGTCCCTGAAGTGAATCACCATTCTATGTGAGATTAAGGGCAACTTCAGGTTTCTGTCTGTAATGGAGAAGTTTCTCTTGTAAGAGTTTGTAAGAGAAATTAAAGAAAAAAAAAAAGGAAGCCATCTTCATCTGTAGAAGTCATTTCCCTTCACAAAGTCAACTGTTAAATACCAGCTGCTTTCTAGGAAATTACTAGAAGATTTACCAGAGGAAGAAGATGAGAAAATAGGAGACACATAAAACTTTATGCAGTTTTTCCCAACAAGACTTTTCTTGGCTGTGCAACTTTGCAAAACGATACACAGAGTTTTATACAGAGTCGTCAAACTGAAGCAGCGAAATGGAGAAAAATCCTGACAGACATGTCAGGCTGGTATACAAACTGTAATAGATAAAAAAAAGGTTTTAATGCCCTGATTTTATGCTTATTGTTTTACCCACATACATAACACTGCACTCTGCTTTTAGATCAGGGGTGTCCAATCCTGGTCCTCGAGGGCCACAGTCCTGCATGTTTTAGATGTTTCCTTCTTCCAACACACCTGATTCAAATGCTCAGGATCATTATCAGGCTTCTGCAGAGCTTGATGATGAGCTGATCATCTGAATCAGGTTAGGCGACAACAGTGTTAATTACATTTCACACATTTCCATTTGTGCAGAGGTTACAGCTGTGCATCTTCACTCATGGCTCACTTAGCAGGAGCTGGCTTGAGCGTCCTTTGTCATCCTGGCTGTGGCCCGGAAATTCATTATCGTGCTCCATCTTAAAGGACGCTCAAGATAGAGAAATGACATGACAGGAGGGTCCTCGGACCACGAAGGTGACAGCATGGACGCATCACTGCAATGTATTGTCCCTGTCAAGGAGGTATCTACTGTACATGATACACAGCACCTGTTTGGACGTAGCCAAGCTAGCTGTTTCCTCCTGTTCCCTGTCTTAATGCTAAGCTAAGCTAACTGGGTGATAGCTGTAGCTTAAAATTCACTGTAAAGACTTCAAAGATTTTCCAATGAACTCTGGACATGAAAAGTAAATATTTCCTAAAAGGTTTTTTTTTACCATAAAAACAGACATTAAAAATACTGGTCTTCAATTGACCATGGGGTTATAGTTTTATTCCTGATGCCACACAGACAAACACACATAAAGAGGTGGATGGTCTGACAATCTTATATTGTAGCTAATCTTAATTTTGCATGTAAGGTGATCCGTTCGTAATTTAATCAGTTAAAACTAAATTAACTGATGAGGCAGAAGACAAGGGACGTGCAGTTTAACTGTCAGACAGTGTATTGTGGATTTTCTGTAGTGCCTGTTTGCATCACCAGGTGGAGCCTCTTATTGTTTAATGAGATGGAGTTATAGGTGTGTTTGCTAAAGATCCATAAAACATGTGTACCTCCGTTCTGTCTGAGTGCTAAGCAGTTTTGATGATAAATTCTGCAGCATGAAAATGTAAATAAGTGTCTGGTGGCTGTTTTTTTTGTTTGTTTGTTTGTTTGTTTGTTTTTAGCTAGCTACCTGGGGCTAATGCTAACACTAAACTTTAAAATGCTAACACGGGCTGGAATCTGAGTGTCTATCAGTAGAAACATTCCCTGTTCTGTCTCATGTTTCCCTGCCTGCAGACTGACCAGGTCACTTTTGTCGTGGCCAGCAATGTCCCTCAGCTGCCTTTCCAGTGAGTCTCTTTTACCATAGATGGACTCAGGATCCACTCTCTTGATTGCAGCTGGCGACTCGAGTCCATGTTCTGCTCTCCAAGACTACAGCAGGTGGAGAACTGGTTTATGCGCCACTACGCCAAGCTGACCGGGGCTGCAGAGCGGAACAAGGTGATGAGACAGCCAGCTACGGTCGCCAGTTGCAGTCCAAGTTGGTGGAGCTGGAGTGAGTCTGGGGGACAAGAGGCTCGATAGAGTGACAGCGAGGACCTCCAAGACACAACCAGGCAGGGAAATACAAGACGGGACGAGCAGTGACTGAACTGTGAGTTGGGTCTTCAGTCTTTAGTTTAAGTGACAGACTTTGTATCATGGGGAGAGGTGCGATTCAGCTCGTGGATTGTGATTCTTCTGGTCATATGATCTTTTTGCTAGATGGCCCACACACATGGACAGACACAAGACGAGCTGACTGGGAAGTTGCTCACACATGTTTTGAATTTTTTATCAGAAGCAGATGATAACAAAGAAGATGTAAAATAAATGTAAAAAAAAACCCCATTACAGTACGATGCATTTTTGTGTCGATGAATCATCCCCAAAACTCATGTAAATGTAGGCTGAGTGAATTGTGCTAATGCACCGTAATGGCAGCAGATGTTCACACACTTGTCCCTAATGGGAGGTGAGGGAAAAAAAAAGGTGCAATCCAGAAACACACAGGACATTAGATCATATCCTGTTGCCCCTTTTTTTTGGCAGGCCACGCTTCCACTTTTTAATTTATTATTGGATGCCTCATCTGTCTGCTTACCAAATGAAAGCTATCCCAGAACACGTTGCTGTTTGCATAGAGGGCTCACAGACTGGTTTCTTTGATCTATTTGGCATCTCTTATCAGCAGCGCGCTGGTTTCGTGACTGTTTGAGCATCCTGTGCGTTTGAAGTGATGAAGAACTTAAGTGCATCCAAGTATTTCTGATCCCAAATCTACAGTGTCGTTGTAGTGTCTTACAATGCAGTTGCATTGCATTAAACTAGAAAGATGTGCTACATTTAGGAGGAAAAAAAGGCAATACTTAGGGGAAAAAATATGAGAAAAAAGGAAAGTATTTGTGTTTTTGGCTCCCAGTCAGGTCAGAGCCGTCTCTCCTACTCACTCCCTTCCTTTTCTCTTAACTTTCCCTCTCCCACTCCCACTTCTCTCTCACATCTGGAGGGTATCTGGTGTGGCTGTGTGACTGCTTGCCTGCTATGGGACAGCCTGTGTTTGGACTGGACGTCAGACTTCAGTGCGTTTCAGCTAACGTTGGTCGGAAGGGGTAAAGTAGAGCAGTAGACCACAATGTTGCTTTTGCAGACTTTTACTACCGCATGTTTTATGGGTGGCTGTTGCACTATATGGAGCTTAGACTGAGCATTAGGTGTCAGCATCATTCATCCGTGCATGACAATTCTGGCATGTGTGTTTCAGACAATCCGGACCTTGACGGTGCCGTAAAGCCGCCTCGCAAACTCTGCTCAGCTGAGAAAGAGCATGAAAACAAGATGCTGACTTTTAAAATGCTTATAAAGACTGTTCTGACCTCAAGCCTCTAAAATTTTAAGATAGCATGAGAGTGCTGTTGACTTAGTGATGGTTATATACTCCTCTCTAACCCCTGGATGCTCCGATGTTTTTATCAGACGAGGGTCGACTTTGTACAATAAGTGCTTTTATTTTGTGGGTGTGTGCATGCTGCACTGTGTGTTTTCTGTGTGTGTGTGTTTGCCTCAGTCGCTCCGGTAGTTGTTGTGGTGCAGCAAGCAAAAAGTGCTCCTCTGAATGATGGCTGTAAGACATTTGCCTTGAGTGCTTCCTCCAGTGAAGACTATTATACATCAGCGGAGATGATTAGAGGACTTTTTCTTGGCTTCAGGCTATACATAAACACGGCTGACCTTGTGCTTGTCAGAAAATTGCAAAGGGCTTCATTCATATTGTTGCTTTTAACCTATACTTACATTTTTCCTTTTGTCAAATTGTTGTTTTTTTTGTTTGTGTGAAAGCAAATAGATCAAGCTGTCATAGGTGATGCTTATGTTCTTTCTTTCAAATCAGCCCTTGCACGTGGTGAGGACTGAAGTTTCAGAAACAGAGCCGGCTGTCTTTTATTGTTGGTCTGGTGCGTAAAAAATATCTGTTTTTAACATATTGTTACAGTTTAATTTTCTCTACACCAGTTAGAAATGCCAGCACAGGGTCATACCAGTGTTAGTGTACTGAAAAGATCTGAAATGAAGTCATGTAGTTTGTGCAGATCAGTGCTGTAGATGAATTTGTCATAAGCAGATACATGCTTTTACCTATATACTAGGACTATACAACATCCTGTGTGAATCATTTATCGCCTTAATAATCCTCAAACTATCTACCTTCCACCATGTGAACCACAAAAATGTTTAAAAGGCACGTTCTCTTAAAAAAACAACAACAAAAATATAAAAAAACAAACAAACAAACAAAAAAAACACGGCAAATGACATAATTTATCTGAGCCAGAAACTGTTCTGACAGTTTCTGACTCTGATTTTTAAATTGTGTTCGACACACAATCCTGGTAAATTAAAGAAAAAAAAAAAAAGTTGTTGCGAGTACTGACTTTGACCAACAACCACAGTCAGCATTAATAACACTTGTGGACTTACTTTTTCAATCTTTGTAAAATAAATAACAAAAGAAATTCACTTTTATATGATTTGACATTCTAACTTTGTACTGCACAAAAGACATTGTTGATCTCTGGTGCAGGACAAAGAAACTGCATGGGGACACATATACGATGCTCTGATATCATAATGATAAACACATTGTTTTTACATGTGTTTATTTAAGAAGCACATGTAGTTGCTCCCAGATATGTAATAACTGAGGTTTTTTGATAAACAAGAGGGCGAGTGCTGTAATTTCCAGTTCGACCTGATTGCAGTGTTATCTCACTTTTCCAGTGCCTAAATCCAGACACAGTGATACACAGCAGCTGGTTTACAGCTGATATTGAACGGTTTGGATGACATTAAAAAAATCTGCTTTTTAAGTCATTCATGAATCAGGTTATTTAAAGCAGAACCAGAGCACGGCAATGACAAAGTCAAACAAGGTCAGACTGGTGCAACAGTTACATAATTCCATTCAGCTACACCGGAAAAATTAAGACTGATGAAGGAACCTCAGATAATCACCGCAGCTTGACCCTGCTCCTGTAGAAGTAGATTTCCAGGAAAAATTTCCACCTTGGAATCCAGAAAATCTCACAAACTCTCCTGGAAAATGTTACCAATCAGCTGCTGTGGCCACGACTGGGGGAAAAAAATTAAGTAACAAAAAATTAGGTCACCTGGCAAGTTGTCTGAGATGGAGATCTCTGAAACACTTAGCGAAGTGCTGTTCCATACATAACTCCTGTGTTTACTTTCGAAAACAAATATTTAAAACAATTAATGTGAAAATTCAGCTTTTGGAAAGCTGCTGAGAGTTCACGCGTTTTGCTTTGCTGTCCGCACAAAGTTTTCTGTAGAGTTAGCATGACACTTAGAGACAGAAGAACTACAATAAAAATATGAAATAAACTGAAAGTGATGCCAGACGAAACGGTATCAACATGAAATGGGTTGTTGTAGAATAAAAATAAACAATTTTTTTGACATCTATGAACGATGTGACATTTCAGAAAGAATACAGCCTCGATCATAACAGAGGTATGTAAAAGCATCCTGAATTTAGCTTTCCAAAAACCCTCAATCCTACAGTTACCATAATGTCACTTAAACATTTCTACCATTACATTCTTTTTGCTTGGTAAATACCCAAATTTTTCAAATTCAACATTCCTGGTTTGTAAAGCAGAGTTTTGGGTGAACATTTGTACTCTTCAAGTCCAACCTCAGGTATCTGGCCATTGTCCTGGACAAATCTGAACCTTTTGATGGTGAAATAGACCAATGTCAGACCTTTTTAATCTGAAGGTATTTAATAATTCATCCTCTGTGGGACATGCATGTCGTCACAATGTTTGCTAGAAATCCTTTCAGCAGTCGTGGAGATATTTCCGTGTGGACTAAAGCGGCAGACTGGCAGACCAACCTCTAGAGTCATGCTGCTAGCATGGCTTAAACAAAGGCTACTGGTTCACCTTTAATTTAAATGCCTCTTCAAGAAGTCTTATTTTGAAAAAAAAATCCCTCTAAACTGCCTAATTGAGCAAACTGCACGCTGGTGTCTAATTTTCTACCATTTCGTCCCTGACAGATTCTTTATCCCTCATACCCGCAGAAGACAATACACAGATGTTTTTACAGACTAAATAGTGCTCCTCCTGACTCATAACTGGATTTTGTTGTTTAAAATCGGTGCCGTGGCCCTTTACAGTAACTATAAACAACTTCTCAAGGCAGGAATTGTTCTAAGGTCCTTTACTGAGATCCAGTCACTACCCTGCAAAGCCTCTTCTGTGCTGCGAAAGCGTTTCCCGTTAAGGCTGAGGCAACCTCTCTCCCGCAGGTGTTGAACACAGGAAATATACAATAAAAAAAGCAATATATTCAGCTCTGCTTTGGAAATTGCTTTTCTGCTGCTCACAAAACCACCTTTGTCTCCAGCTTCGTGCTGCTGTTTCCTACCTTAACTTTCAAATGTTTGGTTTTAAAACATCTCCAGTGAGCAAAGAGGAAGTTTTAAAATTTCGAAGTGCTATTACAAAACCAGGAGGTGTTTTTAATGGCAGTCGCACAGCTTTATCTTCTATAGTGTCGCTGATTTACTGACCTCAGTGAGACCCCTATAAAATCTCTAAGAAATGTGACCCATCTGTGTGGAGCCGACACGCTTTGACTGTATTTTTTCTCACATTACAAAAGAATTGACTGTTTTACCTTTTAGTTGAATAATCGAACCAAAAAAAGCAAAATGACCGTTTAAGCTCTATTTGTTTTAATAAAGTGTATGCAATTGTATAATACAGCACAGTTGGAAACAAAGGTTTACATATGGAAGTGCAAGTCAGTAATGCAACACCAAAAGAAATCCGAGTTTCTGTTAAACCCTGAACAGCCGCCATCTTTAACGTCTGTACACGGTGAGGTTGGTAGATGATGGACATAAAGTTATGATTTCCATGGTTTAGAGTAGCAGCTTGGTAGACATGTAGTTTTAATGAATGTTTCAGTCAACATTTTTATACCCTTGTCTGACAGCAGAAGCAGAAAATATGTAAGTGAAACCGGTTTACTGGGAGCTCGGCTGTATTCAAATACGTGAGCACAGAGAGCAGGAGAGAAACCAACAGGTGTAAATTGCCTCCTGTGTGTTTTCTCTTCAGATGTTTGTTGCTGTGCTGCTGTGTTCTTCCATCCAAACTCTGCACTGTGAATAAACCACCGGTTTTCTACTGAGATAATAAAAAGTGCTCCCAAAGCTTTTGGTCTTTGAGACATTTAACCAAGTAAGACTCTGCATGTAAGACTGTGCATCCGACCAATGCCTGGAGGCAAAACAACTGACATCATGATGCAACAATTGCACCATTTTACCAAAGGATAAATTTGTTTTAACATGATGAATAAAAAAGCAAAAAACTTGCCTTGATGTTGGTGCATTCACAGCATCATCTATTATTCTGACTAATCAACGGCACTTCAATCCTCCTCTACGTAGAACCCAAAATACTTCTGCTTCTCAGATGCTTGGGTGTTGTGATTACCGGACAGATTGCGCCGGCTTTTCTCACCAGTGTCCCACTTTCATTGATGAGCTTGGTTTACTGACCAACAGGGCAGCTGCTGTGACCTCTTTGGAGAAATCTGCCACCACTGCAGATTAAATTACAACATTTGAGGCCACAGCAATGGGGTTAAGGTGCCACATGGTTTCAGACAACACGGATAAATGAGGAATAAAAAAAAAGCACCAATTTTGATTGTCCACCAGCCTGAGTAGTACAACTGTGACCCCCTCTTCACACCACAAATGTGGGTTAGATGTCGCTTCCACCTTTATTTAAAAGCCTCGCTCATCCAATGTAACACTTATATACACTGGATTAGGAAGATCTCAAAGTAGACAAAGGGGAGCAGATTATAACTTTTACTATTTCCTGTTTCCAGAATCAAAACACTCTGTGACCTTATGTCTTTGACTTTGCCTTCCATGTGCTTGTGTAACAGGAGAGCTCAGCAGTGGACATGGCATTTCCCAAGCATTCCATCCTGCAGGCGTTGAGTGTGCTGCTCTTGGCCTGGGTGTTGGTGCGTTGCCAGGCCCACGTCGAACCAGAGGAGGAGGAGGATGAAGAACCAATAAAGGAGGTGGACATCGCAACAGAGGTGACGAAACCTGAGCCGATCGAATGTCCGCCAGATTGCAGCTGTACGACGGAGGGGGCAGTTGACTGCGCAGGGGTGGACCTCACAGAGTTCCCTGCTGACCTGTCTGATACGACGCGGCAGCTCTCTCTGCAGGTCCTTCACACAGCACACATAAACAACATTTGCTCAGGAATTATGTATAAAAACTCTCTCGTCTGCCGTCGTATTTACTGTCTTTGCTTTGTCCCCTGTTGCTAGAACAACAAGATCGAGGAGATAACCGTGGAGCACATTTCCCATCTGCATCAGCTCGAGACTCTTAACCTCCAGAATAACTGGCTCACCACAGATGGTAAACACTGCGAAACAATCTAAACACCAAGTGTATACAGAGGGAACAGACGACAGGGGTGTCTGCAAGGTTGTTTTCTGAGGGACAAACAGGACCATGAGGTTACAGGAGAGCTCAGGATGAGGTCCTGTTTGTACGAAGTCAGAGCCACTGACTGCCAAATCAATTTTGAGCAATTTCAGTTTTATCAGCAGCTATTCTTGCCTTTGTGCTGTTTAGCGTGTGTGTGTGTGTGTCAATACCGACAATTTATTGGAGCACAAATCTCTTTAAAATTTGGCCAAAAATAGCGGAGGAAACACATTTATTTTGGTCACTGGCTCAACTGTTCCTATAACAACTGATGTTTGCTCCCCGACTGCAGTCATGTCCAAGAAATGGATGGCAATTGACAGCAACATTCAAAGCAATTTTCATGTGATGAGAAAGTGTTGTGTTACGCTAACATTCAGTTGTGCAATGTATAAAAAATATCATTCTTTTAAAGGGACTGAGACTGAGTAAAGGCCTAAGTTTTTGAAAAACAAGGACTGTTTTTCTTTTTAGAAATGAAAAATTAAATTCATGAGCAATAAAACACCCAGTTAACTCAGTAAAATATTCCCAGAGGCTTTGCTGCTACAGCCTTACTTGGCCTGATATGATCAGTGGGGAATCATTCCATGTTTCTGTTCAACCGATTTATATGGCACAAAACAGGAACATGTTCCCCAGCTCTGCATTCATAATATATATATATATATATATATATATACACACACACATATGTATGTATAGATAGATATAAAACACAACAGCAGGGTTAAGATATGTCAAAAGAACATTGAACCGGGGAACACAGAGCTAAATATGAGCTAA